TCCACTCCTTAGTCTTTCTGCCTCATGCAAGAGTTCAATCCTGTCGGGAGAAAAGGAAAAGAAAGTTTTCTTATATAGTTTCCTTTCCCTTCTCTTTAAAGCTGCAGAAGAAAGCTAAATGAGCAAAATCCGGCCTAAAAAATTAATAGAGATCTTTGGCTTGTTTTATTGATTCTAACAATGTACCAAGGCTATCTCATTTATGCAGAATACAATTGAAAAAGGTATTAATTTTCAGCACACAGATTCAAAAAATTTTATTTTTCAAGTATGTTTTCTAGTAATTTCTTTTAGCATGGGTTAAAGATGGTAGAAGCCCAACATTTTGTCAAAAAAATTAGAACAGTAAAAGGTCTGTGCTTATTTGTACAATACAGTTACAATACATGCACTCAGTCATTAGCCCGGCCACCTTTTTCGCATGAATTACTGTGTTGATGCGGTGTGGCATGGAGGCAGACAGCCTTTGGTTCTGCTCAGGCGTATTGGAAGACCAGGTTGCTTTTGCAGTGGCCACTGGTTCATCGACTTTGTGAATGTCCCTGAACTTTTGGACAGCCTTTTTTTAAGATACTGTCAAGATCGCAGTTATCCCTGAACCACATCTTTTCCTTCAACTTGATTTTACAATGAAATGTGTGAATATAACACTCTAAACTGCCACCTTCCTGAATAATAGTATATATATATATAAATACAGTATATATTTTAGAAACTCAGTTTGAGGTTTTCATTTGCTGCAAGCCATCATTATTAACACTGATTAAGTAAAGCTGAGGAATAAGTTACTCAATTTACTTTTGTTGATTTATAAATCTCATTTTCAAAGTGAAATTACTGAAATAAATTCATTTTTTGATGATATTCTAGTTTATTCTCCTTCTATGTCGTGCTTCCAGAGGTTGCTGGATCTACTATGCAATCTGCTCTTACTGGTACACTCTGGGGAGACAGTCTCCACCATAATGCCTCTCGCTGGCTAGCGCCTTGTGGTCGACCCGGCTCACCATGAGAAAGCAGCAGGGAGCCCCCTGCATGTGGGCACACCACCTGTGAGGAGGAGTCTTGAAGTGGGGGGCTGAGGGCGGGAGGCCGGGTCATGTTGATTCCTAACATCAGACTCTTCCAATTACACATTTAACGACTTATAACAACTTCTGAAACCTTCTGGAAAAAGTTGCTAGAGGTTCACAGAAAATATATTCTGATGTGATTTTAAGGGGTGTATTTCAATCATGTAGGGATTTGGACCCGCCTGGATGTTACTATTTTTTTTTCTTCATACACATACAAGTGAAAGCAAGAGTTGATTTGTTGTCTCTCTTTACTGCAGACTGTATAAGTTGTTTGTAGGAATGTAGAGAGCTTGAAGCTTTTTGCCTGTTTGGATGTTGATGTTTGGATGGGGGGTCACTGATGAATTCATGTTCAAAATGCCCAATAAAGGCTCATTATAGCTTCTGCTGACAGTGTTTTACATCATTAAAATATGAAGGGCCTACTGCTCAGAGAATCCACAATCGTTTCAGTCTGCTGTACTCGTCTGTGTTTACAGAAATGCATCTTCTCTCATCTGTGAATTAGCATCACAGAAGCGTGCCTTGCGTTTGCAGCCGACATCCTGCTGGATGTTTCTAATGTAAACATATGAGGGCTGTTGGAGAAGATTTAATCAGCATCAATGTTTAATTGGATTGATTGTTATCTTGTCTCATCTGATCAAGTCAAAGCCTTACACAGAATCTAACAGCGGATGAAACGGCAATGAAGCCGTTAAAGCGGAAAAGGCGTGCAGGTTTTCTCATAAATGAGGGTTTTGCATCAACTGCTTGAGTGTATTTGAGGAAATAAGGCGTGCAGGTTTCTCATAAATGAAATCAACTGTTGAGAGAATTAAATGTGTGTGATTATGTTTGCATGTCAGTGTTTGGACGAACTCCCAGGGTCAAAGTTGACGACTCAGTGGAAACTGAGAAGACCTTCGTCCTATCACCATCTCCCTTCCTTCTGTTTTTGGTAAACACAGCTAAACTGTTTTCTCTCTCTTTGTTTTTTCTCGCTCTATCTCTGACTCTCTTGGGTCTACATTTTTCAGTTTGCATTCAGCTTGCATTCCAGCTGCATGGATATGTTTGCTCTCTCTCGCTCTCTTTCTGAATTCTTCCCATGTTGCCTTTTGAAGTTGTGTGCCAGTCATCATACCACATCTGCTGGATTTCTTGCTGAAGTCCGCTTGATTTAATTTTTAAAATTTTTTTAGGAAGACCATTGTGGCTTTTCCCTCCATGTTTGTGTTTAAATGCATTTCTGTAACAAACATATTTAGATGCTTGGTGTGAACATCACTGGGTTTTACTCCCCTTAGGTAGATTGGTAGAAGGTTCAGGTTATCACAAACTTTTTTTGAAGGCAAATAATGCCAACCACAGTACTTTTCAGATGCGCTGTCTAGTTTTCTTAGGTGAAAAAGTCTTAACTTTGCCTCATTTGACTTGATCATCCACACGTTTGTTGTGGAGCTTGGCAAACTTTTGCTTGCCGGTTCAGACGACAGTCCGTGCGTCACATGGAGTCTTGTGAACAGTCAAACACTCATGATCGTGAACTATAGGTGCACGTTTAGTTATTTTTGTTAATTAAAAAATAACCAGTAATGATCATTTGTTTTAATTGCTCATCAGTCATGTTTCAATGTCACTCACCTGTGTTATTTGAGCTCATCGTCAATATGTTGAAGGATATTTGACAGCTGAATTGGGCATGACGCAGGATGTGTTGCTGCCATTAGGACAGTGGGATTAGATCAGAAACAAAAGCGAAGAGAAAAGGAGGCTTTTCATTCTCTCCCCTGCCTCTTGGTCTTCAGGGAAGTCCCAGAAATGTCAGCTATCAACCTATTTGAGTTTGTGCGAGGCAGCTCTACTGTCTTGAGTCAGCAACCTAACCCACATTCACACAGAGGGATACAACAGCCAGGAAATTCTTTTATTTGGTGTCACTAGGAATGTGGAAATAAACCAAGCGGGTGGGGAGAGAACAGGGACGATTCTGTCCTGGGTGTCAGGGAACATAAACTGGAGAAATTTGGAGCAATAAAGACCTTGAAATGATTCTGTTCATGCAAGCTTTTGGTGTTTGTGTGATCCCTATCTCGTCCTTTGACGTTACCTTTTCTCTCTCTTCATATCGAGAGGTTGTTTTGCATTTTAACTTCACACACCACTTTCTTCCTTTCATCTCTTTCTTCTCTCCGATCAGCCGTTGCTGCAGGAACGTGATGCCATCTTTATCGTCGTGGTTTTCCCAGCTTCTTGTTTTCTTAGTGTTGGTTTTCTCCCTCCTCTTTGCTACCTGCGTCATATTCAGTTCTGGGGACACACCATGGCTCCTAAGGTGATGACCTGGCTGCTGTTCAGGTCACATGTGGCACATTTAAGTAGACATCACCATGACATCACTTCCAGCTTTAACTGACACTGACTCAGCCCCGGTTGTGTCAAATCTTCTTTAGCCGTTCTGACTGTGAATATGCACCTGTCAGCGCGCTTTAGTAACACATCTCCAAAGATGACACACACATATGCTGTCTCTGTCAGTCTCTGTCGGTGTCTGAGATGTTGCTTAAGATCCGTTTTGATCCAAGATCGTAAGAGGCTGTAAAGCACAAATCAGTCAGGCTGCAGCATGTTGTCGTTCCACACCTCTAACTGTGATGCGTTGTGTTTTCCAGGTTCATCCTGCAGTGATTTATGCTGACAAGGATTGGGAACAGTTTTCTTTTTAATATATACGACTTCCAAATCAATAAACATCACTGCACATATTGGAGTAAGATAATTAAAGCCATAATTATGTAGAATAGTGACATCTGGCTTTGATATTGCAAATTGCAACCGAATAAATGTCCGTGCTTCTTCGTCTCATTCCAGTAGTTCAGAAGGGATCATGCTGTCAAATAAGAAGTATAATGTTAATTTTATAAAGCTGGAGTTGTTGTGGATTCTTTTCATTACTGTCTCTGGGATGTTCTTGTTATAGCAGCTTGTAGCAGTATTATTGCCCTAAAGAGGCTACTCTGCTGTACACCAGCTCCAGTGTGTTTTGGGCATAATTAAATGTATAAAGATAATTTAGATGTGAAGTTGAAGTGAAGCAGTGCACTCTATTTACACAGTAAAGTTAACAATGAGGATTGCAAATGTACCCTTATTGAAATGTGTGTATTGTGAAGAACTGCCTAACTTTTGATTTATGCATAATAATTTTAGCCAAAAAGGCACAACCACCGGATCTAAATTAATTGTATTTGATCTGTTAAATTAAGGCTGAAGTATCAAAAAAAAATATTTTTTTATTCATTTATTTTTTTAGACTGCATCATGAGTCGTGTGCAAATAAAACTTTGCATATTCTTCACAGTAATAGAGGCTGTGAAGAATATTTAAATAACAGAATTTTCCATGTTTATCAAAATAACATTTTGTTGAGATTTTTTTTTTTTTGCACATTTCCCCCCCGAATATTTCCCAATGGATCTGGGAAGTGTGTGTGTCTGTCCTCAGGAACATCAACAAACAAAACGAGCTGAAACGTAACTCCGGCGGCCGTCGTTTCAGCTCCGGTGGTTCCTATTTATCCTCAGCAGAGTAGACAATAGGATGACTGCAGCCGGGCAAATGTTCTTTTGCTCTGCAGCTTACCTCGGCTCAACCTTGTGATCCCCAGGAGCTCGCAGGTCACCAGGGAAATAGAATCCCCACATCGTGTTCTGGGATGAGGCCAGAACACCTGAGAGAAAGCAGTGCTAGCAGAACATGCTTTGTGTCAAGATGAAGGATTCATTATTATTGCAGATGCCAAACGGCGTCTGTTGGTTTTAACTGTAGTGAGCCTGAACCTGCTTTATTCTGCGACGGTTTCTTACTGCACTCTAATAATCACCTCATTTAGCATCCCTACATGCTCCCGGTTATTAACTGATTATGTCTCTGTCCTGCCAGCATCTTCAATGCACCATCCAGGCCTTACAAGATGAGCTCAGGATCCAGCGCGATCTCAATCAGCTCTTCCAATCCGATTACTCGGAGTCCGGGCGACTTGGTGCCCAGCCCATTCCCCCTCAGGAGATGACCGAGGAGAACTTCCTTCGTCTCCACAGCGAGTTCGAGCGGCAGGCCAAGGAGCTCTTCCTCCTGAGGAAGACTGTGGAAGAGATGGAGCTGAGGATCGACACGCAGAAACACACTTTGACCGCCAGGTAGAGGCGGAGGGACTCGCAACTGTTGCGTAACTTCTTCCGGCTGCAAATGCTTCGGGTTCTGCATGACTTGTGTGCCCTTCTTTGTCTGATAGGGATGAGTCAATAAAGAAGTTGCTGGAGATGTTGCAGAGTAAAGGTCTGTCGTCGCGGGCGACAGAGGAGGACCACGAGCGAACGAGGCGACTCGCTGACGCAGAGATGACCATCCACCAGCTAGAGGGGCTGCTGGAGCAAAAAGACAAGGAGATGCTTCAGCTCAGAGAGGTGTGTGTGAGCTCCATGGTGTGTGTGTGAGCTCCATGGCATGGACCTTTGGTAACAATGTGCAATTTTTAAGCAATATTTCAAACAATCATGTAGACACGTCTTATCCTGAATGATTATTTCAGTCTCTTTCCTTATTCATTCTTTCTTAAATTCTCTTCCAATTTATTTTGTCCGGTACATTTAGGATTTGTCATACAACAGCTCCCCCTAGTGTTCACAAATGTGAAATGAACAACAAAGAATACCAGTGACGCGTCATGAAATATTTCACCTATGTTAAGCACCTGCATAGATACAAAATATTTTTAATGTAATGTTTTTATTCGCTGCTTTGTGCTTTAAAACCAGTTAAATGTACGTACAGGGCTTTGGAAAACTGTTTAAACAGCTTTAATTTTTTCACATTTGGGCACATGACAACACAAAGTATTGTGAATATTTGTGAAATGGAAAAAGGTTTTAACTTTCTAGACTTGACTAGATGCTGCCGCCACCACAGTAAATAAACTCTTCTGCTAAAGTTTCTGTCTCCAACAAGACAAGATGTGAAAACATTTCAGAATATAAAATGAAATAAAATGATGTTCGACTTACATTATTAGGATACTCACTGACACTTTACAATAAAATCAGTCACACATCAATAATTACAATACAGTTAAAGTTAAACACATTAATTAGGAGTTTGTATCAACAAAATATAAATATGCCAACCTGCTCTAACTGTTGTTTCTTCGTGTTTCATGAGCATTCTGAAAATATTTCATGGTTCTACATCTGCATTTCTCCCGGTGTTTGGAGAACTGCAGGAAACCATCTCATGAGGAATTGCAACGGCATTATGCACTCTTTCAAAGATACTTCCTGTTGAGAATTTGTCTTGCTAATTTCCTGATGTACTGCTGGCGCTCCCCCCCCCCACGGGACACTTTTCACTTGACTAATTAATAAAGCAGTCCCTGCAGCATTCTGCTGCCACGTCTCCTGCACTTAAGCACAGTTCCTCCTGGGAGTGGAGCTTCTGTTCACTTAATTAAAGACCTGTTGTATAGAAGACTTACAAGAGTTAAATGTTAAAAGATTTAAAATCAAGCTGTATTTTGGAAATTAGTTCAGCCAAAGCATTGACTACTATGAGTCATTTGTGGCTTGTGTGAAATTAATAAGAGGGGTTTTTATTAGAGATGTTAATTGGAGTTTTATGCTGCTTTCTGGTCTCAAGGTTTTGTATAGCTTTGAGTTGGCAATTTTAATTTTGATTTATCTTTATGAACTATTATTAAAAACAATCAAAATGTGTAGTTTTTTTTTCTGTCCTTGATGCTAAGGTACAAACAAGTTATGATTTCCAAATGACTCAAATTTACATTCATCTGCACAAGCAATCTTAATCCAGAAGTCCTGCTTTCTTTTTCAACATTCATTCTTGCAAGCGTTATTGTGTCCTTCATTGTTTTCTTTGAAGGCTGAGGTTTCCTCCACACATCCAGTGAAAGTTATACTTGTGCATTTCTGATTCTACAGTCTTAAATCAACAAGAACAAGAGAGATTTTAGAGATTTGTTTTCAAGTCCTGCAGTCTGCTTTCGGGAAAAACCTCATTGAACGGTGAGATCTTGGTGTGTGCAATTATTTCAAACCTTCTGTGAAGTGGGAATTTAAAGTTCTTTTGACACCTTTTAAAACCCCTTATTAGAGTCATAGTCTTCTTTCTATGGACTCAGACAGCTGCCTCACTTTTATTACCATGTCCACTCTGATTTCAGCAGACAGGAGCTGATCAAAGTTTATCATTTATCACAAACAATAATAGCAAAGGACTGTTTTGAAAGAAGTATCTGACTTGGTGTGCATGTTCGCCAGCCCCTCCAGCGATCTCACCCAACTGTCTGCTTCACATGTCCAGGTTTTTGTGCTTCCTGTCTTTGTGTGCTTGCTGCTTTTGTCAAAGCATAAGAGGCCAAAGAAAAGCAGTGATGCATACTGTGTCATCTCCTCCTTCCTGCTTTATTCTGGCCCTGCCCGGCACTTCTCCCTGTCCTTTCCTTTACTTCTTGTGCCTTCACATCAACCATCGCCCTCCCCCATATACCTCTCATCCTTACTTCTGATTCAGTTGATGAGGTAGCTGTGATGGAGGAGGATCTACCAGAAGGCAGCTACATGTTTAGAAATGTTTTGAGTTTAGTAAATTTAAGAGGAGAAATTTAGCGTGGATGATGTGACGTTGTTCCAGGTTTTTACTTGGGTCTGTCAAGGGTCGTTTTTTTTTTTTTTTTTTAGATTAATCTCACAGGTTAAGATTGTGAGTGAATTGATCAATTAGCATCACCTCCGGCTGTCAGATCGGATCATACTGTGAAACTGTGTCAGTGTTTATCAGCCTCCTTCCTTTCTGGTTGAGCTATGTGGGGCGCCCGGATCAAACCAAGGAAGATCAAATCCAGCTCTTCTGCTCAGAGGAAACTTCTCCTCTCTGCCTCCTCATCCTCTCCGGCTTCTCCCTCCATCCCTGTCCCGCCTCCTTTCCATGTGTCCCCCCCGTTTCTGCCCTCTCCTGTTTGTCCTCCATCACGCCATCCCTCACTCCCTCCTTCTCCGTCTGTCCCTGTCCCTTCGCCTCCTCCCAGACGCCACTCCGGCCATCCTGTCCCCATACCCTCATCCTGTCCTCCACACTCTCCTTCTTTCGTTGTTATTTCTTCAGCCCATCCCTCCCACCGATCCACCATCCACCACTCCCCATCTTTCCCGCTTCCCGCGCCACGGCCTACACCAGCCGTCCAGCCCTCCTGTCATCCCGTTCCATCTGCCGCCCTCGCCTCCTCTCCCTCCCCACGATCGTCTGCTTCCTCTGTCTTTCCTTGCTTTCATCCCACCGTGTCTTCCTGTTTGTCCTCTGCTGACCGTCGTGGCGTTTGTGTCTCTCAGGAGCTTCACAGGAGATACGAAGCGGCGCCAGAATCGACAAAGACCAAGGCCCTGCAGACCGTTATTGAAATGAAGGTAAACATCTTGATGTCAATTCACTTTCTGATATTGCCAACACTTGTTAATAGAACCTTATTAGAAAATCTTTTATAATTCATTTTATTGTTCAGCTTCAAATCAAAGCTTGCTCTGCTCTGAAATCATAATTTCGTCTGGTGGCTCTTGAATGACCAGAATCCAATAAAACAACAGGTTTTGTGACATAGGTTAATTATTTGGATTAATCCTTACAAATATTTTAACTCCTCTAATTTAACATTTATTCTAACTATTTATAACAACTAAATTTGTTCAGAAGGAAGAAGAGCAGCAGCATCATGGTTGCGTTGCACGCGATGAAACTTTTCTGGAGCATGTTTTGATTCAGTTCTAGTTTTCTGCCGTCATCAGTCATATTTAATCTCTTTCACCTGAAAGAAATAATGGCCGTGGCAGGGATTCCTGACATTTTCTTATTAGCATCCTCTGGCTTCAGTCACAGTTGGCAGAGTGGTTACAAAGGATCAGGAAGATCTCACTGTTGGAGAAGGGTACCAAAAAAATTACGCTTGAAATCAGAAGACAATTTGAACAATAGATTTGTATCCAAAATATTTTAAATATTAAATAAAAGCCAGTCAGAGAAGCTGCACAGAGGTCGACTGCATCACTGAAGAAGCTGCAGAAATTTCTGCAGAGTTGAAGAGAAAATGTTTTTTATTGAGGTGGATGGACTTATGAGCAGTCAGTTTGACCCAAACAGCTAAAAAGCTAAAGATGAAGATGGATTGTCTGTTTCAGCAAGACAGTGAGTCCAAGAAAGAAATGAAAATTTTCAAATGGCCTAGTCAAAACCATACCTGAGAGAAAATATATGGTGGTATAGGTAAAACACGAGGACGTAACAACAACAATAGACTTAATCATGTTTGATCAAACTTTAAGAAACCTGTTTATGAATGAATTTGTCAGGATGCAAAGATCAGCTCCATGGAGCGCGGCATGAGGGAGCTGGAGGAGGAGGTGATGATGCTGAAGTCCAACGGCGCTCTGAGCAGCGAGGAGAGGGAGGAGGAGATCAAACAGATGGAGGTCTACAGATCCCACTCCAAGTTTATGAAGAACAAGGTGATCAATGCACTGAGCAACACACACATTTCCCACAACACTGAGGCTTCCCCCCCGTATGAATCTTTTGGGTCTTTACATCTTCTCTTCCCTCCCTTAAGGCAAAAAAAATAAAATAAAAAATACATTTTCTCAACAGAATCACAACTACAGTTTTTTATTATATCTGTTACATCCATGAGGGGATTCAAGTTTCCTTTACTTAACATAATGCATAAAATGTTATTAGTGAATTCTGATTATATTTAATAAAACCATGGTTTTTAATAAACCATGTTATTTGATTTACTGTGTTTTATAAATTCACACTGCATATTTCAGTTTCTCCAGTCTGCCTTTACTAAAAAATGTGTTTAATTTCCACTGCAATGTGTTTTTCGCTGCTGCTTATGACATTTATGCTCTCACCAGCGGACATGCTGGGCATCACGATCAGGTCGCCCGTCTCTTCCTCACATCTCCGTCTCCCGATGTGAGGAAGAAAAACAGGTTTAAGGGAAACTAGAGGCCATGATGCAGGCCACATAATGAGAAGCCTCCCCCCCATCTTGACCAGTTCCTCTCCTGCCAGGTTGAACAGCTGAAGGAAGAGCTAACTCACAGCCAATCAGAGAAGGAGGAGCTAAAGCAACGAGCCAATGAGCTTCAGCAGGAGGTGTCTGCAGTAAGAGAAGCACCTCTGTGTCTGCTTTCCTTCTTTCCTTCCTTTCTTCCTCTCTTACAGCCTGAAGCTTAAGTAGCGTCTATCAGTAGAATCCCAGCCTACTGGGCTTGTAGCGTTTCAGTTCTGTTTCTGCACTGTAAGTGGTCTAGCTGCTAAATACAAACTCCTGCAGGTTGCTGCCTCTAACCTGCGCCTCTTGCTTGCATGATCTAGTGGATCGGTTTGCCGATGAATCGATTTGGTTTTCAAGAACGAAAAGCTTCATGCTTAGAGGTCTGGGTCAATTCTCCTCAGAAGCCTTAAGTGTGTGTCAGGTGAACTGCTGAATAAATGCAGATTATATTTTTAAAAAATAAAATAGCTCCAAATATGAGGAATTATTATTAGATTACCTTAAAATGAATTATTTATCAGTTGCTTTGAAAGTAGGTCTTTAAGACCAGAGTGGGCAACAGAGTCGAACCAGACCTTTTCGCATGGACTGCTAACATTTTTAGTCTGACTTGTGTTTCTAATTTTTGTTTGCTTTTCAGCAGAGAACTTGGAAAACAAGGAAAATAAATGCACTTGTTTTTTTTGTACGAGTAACATATTTCAGTTTAATATAATCTTAAGTAGCTTTTATTTCTTCCAGTAAAATTTTTACACTAATTTTTAATAAAGCCGGTGTAAAATAGTTCAAGTTGTTATACATCTCCCACTGAAAGAAGATGTTTCATAATCATCAAGGCTCAATTTGATCATTACCTGGAATACGCCAGTAAAGTTTGAAGCGAGTTCACCATAAACATTTGCCAATGTTTCAATTGCAAATGAAACATTGGCATAATGTAGGCTGCTGGATTCATCATAAAAAGTCTTTTGAAATTTTATGCACTATGCGTGTCCAGAAACTTACCTGTTGCAGTTACCATTATTATTTCTCATGAGAAGAAGAGGAGAAAGAAAAAAGACAGAAAAGATCATTTCTAATGAGAAAAGTAGTCGTATGCAAGAAGTGATGCAAGAAGTGATGCAAGAGGAATTTCTCCTAATATAAGTTGGAGGTGTAGATATAAAAGCAAACCAACAATACTCAGAAAGGCTCCACCTAATTCAAAAATTCATTGAAGTCGTTTGCTACATAACAAGCGCATTCAAATAACGAATGGTACAAAAGCATCATTAAAAAAATTGAATCTGTCTAAAATGCTTGCAGTGAGTTTTAACAAGGAAGGCATGCTTTCTTTCACAGCACACATTCAGACATTTTGTTCTTCCTGCACGTTTCCCAGATGGACCAGACAAAACAGGAACTGAGTCGCAAAGACAGCGAGCTGCTAGCTCTCAGGACCAAACTGGAGACTCTGAACAATCAGTTTTCGGACAGCAAACAACATGTGGACGTACTCAAGGAGTCACTCACTGCCAAGGAACAGAGAGCTGCCATACTGCAGACCGAGGTAAACCTGATTTCCCCACTTATCGCCATTATTCGCGCCAAGTGTTTACTTCCACTCGCTCGCTCCTCTTTTGCACTCAGGTGGACGCCTTGCGTCTCCGCCTGGAAGAGAAGGAGTCTCTGCTCTCGAAAAAGAGCCAGCAGATGTCGGAGCTGACGGAGGAGAAAAGCACTCAGCAGGGAGAGATCACTGATCTCAAAGACATGCTGGATGTCAAGGAGCGCAAAGTGAACGTGTTGCAGAAAAAGGTGGGAAGCTTCAGCCACTAATCCTTAAACTCTGATGTTTCAAGTGAAGTTTCAGTCAGAAGTTTACGGAATTTATTTTAACTGTTCTTTTTCCAGGGTGAAATGATAACACAAAATACATCTTTCTTGCATTTTAAAGACAAGGCTTGAAATTACTATTGATTTTCTCAGAATTATACATTTCAACCAGTACTACTTAGAAGTCCCTCAGCAATTTGCAACGAAATGACTCAATCTTTGCAGCCGTCAGCGAGCCTTTTCCATAATTCCAGCTGAACATATGACCACTCTTCTTCTCTGCATTGAAAGATGTAATTTAAATTCCTTGGTTTCCTTTCTCATTGTTGACTTTGAAACAAAACCCAGACATTACAACCTTGACATCAGCAGAGTCAAGGTTGAGGTCATTCCAGAAGCTTAATGTTAGGCTGCTTTCTATAAATGTATCAATGAGTTTTTATGTTTTCTTGGGATTAGACATCTGAACAGTGGAGGAAATGGTGCAACTTTAATGCTGTTTTTCAAAATGAAGAACTTGTGGGTTGCCATTTATTCACTAAATTTAAACATTTCACTCATTGCTTGAGACAGTATCAGAAAGCTAGCCTTTGTGGACAGCTTATAGGTTTTTTTCTAAGATAAAAATGTTTGAAAGTTTTTATTTATAAGGTTTTTTTCACATTAGAAACCTTTTTTCTGAAAATAAGTTGCAATGCATGATGTTGGCCACTAGATGGAGGTGTAGGACAGAACACAATTTGGAAGTTTTGTTCAGAAAGGAGTCGTGTGAGAGGATCTCTGTGGAAATCTTGAAAGTCATTCATAATGATTTATACAAATATATAAAATATACACACATATGTCATTTGGGACAGTGGGTGAGACAAGTTTCAGAAAACGAGATCCTGTTCACATTTTTGTGCTTCCTTTATAAACTTCACCGTTTTCCACCAATTCTCCAATTTTTTTCTCGTTTCTCCCTCCCGCTGCCCCTTGCAGAAGAATATGTCGAAAAGTAGAAAATGCGTACTGCTAATCAATGGGGAAAATCAAGCAGGCAGACATAAAGCAGGGACAGGGAGGGGGAGGAGAGAGACACGGTGTGTTTAAAATCCGATGCATACTAATGACTTCCTCTTGTTTAATAAATGATGACCTCTGCTGTCTTCAAATGGAATACAGTTCGGAGCCGGAGAAAGGGAGAGAAACGCTGTTGTTTTCTGCTCTGATTTCCACATTTTCTCCCTCAGCTCCTGCGTTCAGTTTCCATATCTCTCACCCTTTTCTACGTTTTCACTTGCCGTTCTCGTGAGTCAATTACCACGAACCTGCAGCTGATTAACAGTGAAGACATTTGTGTGATCTCCCACCGTCTCAGGACTGAAATAGAACGAGCAGAACGCGCAGACGGCGTTTCTATATGTATATAAGTGCGGCGCTCATGTGCTGTTGAGATCAAAGAGTCACATGGCCTCTCACTGTCAACAGCGAGGGCTCCTCTGCGTGTGTGCAGGAAGGTGAGGAGGAGGAGGAAGATGTGTCAGTCAAACTGTCAGTTTAACTGTTGATTAATGAGGTGCTGGGAATATTTTATTGTACGAACACACACACACATGCTTGCTCTTTTCTCTGGTACTGGAAATATGCATCTCTCACCTGCAGAGAAGTCAAAGGCTGCGCATCAGGCTGAATATTTTTTTTGAGTCAGTTGTTTGTGATAAAAGAGATGACAATTAGAAATGAAAACACTTTTTGCACATCTGGCACTGAGATTTAGATGTAATATGACATCACATAAACTAATTAATAATGTTTTTTTCCCCCTGTGTTCATTATCAGTGTTTGTGTTGGTCCCAATAAAATACATTGAAGTTTTTGCTTCTAACAGGACAAAATGTTGACATTTCAAAGAGTGTGAATCCTTTTGGCCATACATTCTGTTTTTCAGCTCGACTGTGTCTGGTAGTTTGGTGTTTTAGGGCAAAATCAATCTTTCACCAAATCAAAATACAACATACAGAAAAATTGGTTGAGAAGGGAGGGAGTGGAGGGTAAGAGTGTGTATTTGGATTGAGGGTTAAAAGAAGTAAAGCTGAGAAATGTAAGAAAGCTTCGTTCACCTGAAGCTTTCGACGAGAATCAGTTCCGTTTTATGTCAGATAGTTCTTACAGATTTTTGGGTTGGTTGAGAAAATGAATTGCTTTTATGATGAATTTGAGAGGATAAGAAAAAAGAAACAAAAAGAAGTGAAAGTTGCAATAAAAATAAGCTTTGAGGTAATATTACTTTATTTTTTTTTTAGCCTACGGTTCAGTACAGTGCTGTATTATCTCTTTAGGTAGTGAAACAGAAATCAATTGTAGTCACAACCTCTTTTGTAGATGGGGATGGTTGTGGGCAGCAAGGATATCCTGTAGCAGCCTGTGTTGCAGCAAATTTAAATCAAAAGAGAATGTGATTGACTTGATATCAGAAGTCTGACTGGTAGCTTTAAATATATATTCAAATCTATAGATTTTTTTTCATTCAATTTAAATTCAGAAAGCATTCAAGTTAGATATTTAGTACATTCCTAATTGATATTATACAAATTAGCAATAAGATAGGACAATATGGCTAATTTTTGCATAGCTATGACTAATAATCGAGGTCATAAAATTAACTTAGCATAAGGTTTAGTTAGTTGTTCAATACAGTTCAAATGTTAAAACTGTGAATTACCTTATTAACATATTCCCAGTAGCTAGTGTACAAGTTCTCTAAAATATTATATGCTAGCTTTGCTAATTTCTTTTTTGTATTACTGAAAACCCCCCCAAATTTTATAAATAAAAACACAAACCACTGTTAGTTATAGCACAGCTAAATTAGTTTGTGAAATTTAGCCACATTAGCTTATATCTTTCTTGTTAATGCCACTTTAGCTTCTGTTAATTATTTTGGCATTTGCCATCAGAATATCAAATTTGTTCTGTTTTGAAGTAATTTACATAAATGAACAAAAAGATAACATGTTGTTTGTGTTGTTTGCAGGCATGCATTTTTTTTCTTTAGACATGTCAGCTTGTGTAATTTGCTGGTAACATTCTTCACATTTGAAACCCTTGGAGCACATACACCTGCCAGAAAATATCATTTTTACTATTCAATAATGAAATATGCATCAAAACTAGAGCAGCTGATGATTTTTTTCCCCCTCTCCCCTCTACAGATAGAGAACCTACAGGATCAGCTGCGGGATAAGGAGAAGCAGCTGAGCGGACTGAAAGACAGAGTCAAGTCTCTGCAGACGGACACGTCAAACACAGACACCGCACTGGGAACGCTGGAGGAAGCTCTGGCTGAGAAGGTACACACACACACGCACGCACACACACCCATGCACATACACGAATACATGAACACCCACCGCTGGTCAGCCTCGGGTCAGCGCCCGAGCAAGGTTACATTAATAAAAGCTTTATGAGCAAAACCGCCGACCACCCACACGTTGACCCGGTGACTCGGAAGAAATGGAAATAAACCAATAATTACACTAGCTGTCATTTTATTAAATTATTCACAGGCTGTTTTTGTAAAACACAAGGAGCCGACAGGCATCGAGCCACATGGCTCAGATTTACTCATTGATCACTGTTTATGTGTGAACATTCAGGTTCAAAACGATACTGAAGCACTGGATTTATGTCTCTGCAGGCAGTTTTTTCAGGGGATTTGACTTCAGCTCTCAGAAACCAAAATCTGTTATGTTTTAGCTTTTATTTTTATGCTCTTATGGATTATTATGTTATAAACTCAATCTTTTTGAGGCTTTCACACACACAGGAAGCAGGTTTTGAATTGACCAGTGACTAATACTCATGGTGTCGGCGAGGTGTGTGATTGTTGGCAGGATGAAGGAGCTTACACACTCCTGCTTCTTCCCTTTTTTTTCCATTCCTTCCCAGCTTTCTGAAATGTCCTGTTTTTCAGTTCAAGCCTTTCAACATTTCTTCCCTTACCTTCGTAACTCTGGGCTCTTGCACCCTTTCTTTTTCTTTTTTTTTTTCTTTTGAGGTGCGTGAACTTTTGTGCTTTTCTCTAAACTGGCCACTGTGTTGTTCTGCAGCTATAGAGGTCAGCTTTTCTGTTTTAGTGCTTGTGAATTTTACATCTTGCGCCAAAGCACATTACGTGTGTAAAATCACCGTTGGCTGTTAGATCCTGTCAAAGCTGCCATGTACATAAAGTTTAATGTGACACTTATTAGTACAGAAACTTGATATTGAGTGACTGTGAATGCGTCTTGGACAGCATGAGGTGTTTTATTCTCCTTTTCTCGTTTTTCATGGCTCCTTCTCATTGTCCACTTTCCTCCTCCTGTATTTCATAACGTCGCTCTGTTTCTGCTTTCCTTCCTTTCCTTTATTCAGGAGCGGATTATCGAGAGGCTGAAGGAGCAGCGAGAAAAGGAGGAGAGAGAAAAGGGAGACGAGATGGAGACCAGTAAGAAGGAGCTGAAAGAGTTGAGAGAAAAGGTCTCGCAGCTCCAGGCTGAGCTGGCTGATCGTGAGGTACAGTCACCACAAACATGTTGATTATGGTCAGAAAACATCAGAAAATATGCTATTAGTTTTCCCGCGAACCTATTTGATATGCCACAGGACAAAGAAGTAAAATCCCATTTAAACGTAGGTAATTCACAGGCCACAGCTACTTGAAACAATAATCCGAGCTGATTTTTTTTCCAATAGTGACTTTGTGAGCTATACAGGCCTGCAGAACAGAGCCAGAGGAATACAGGAAGAGCGACAAAACGTTTTCTGGCTCCTTTTTCTTCGCTTTCACCCTACAGCTGCTGGGCAGCACAGCAGGAAAGTTATGGCTAGTTGAAGCCACAATTAATTAGAATGATTAGATTTCCAGGAGTCTTAGTTTTATAAGTGAATAATAAGGCTCAACAAACCAGAAGTAAGAAGGGAATTTAAGGATGATATGGACATTAATGCTCTACAAAGATAGAAGTGTCGATTTGAAGCCATATAAATAACTAAAAATGAAGATATATATATATATATATATATATATATATATATATATAGATTCCAGCTGAAAAAAAAAACACAGGTTAGAAAACTGTAAGGGAATGAATGGCAATAATTCTTTTTTTTCCACCTTTCGTACATTTTAGTTGTATTAAATGTACTCATTTTCTCTTGTTGGCTGAAAATTAAAATGAGTCGGCAAAATCACAGCTGTCAGATTTTTTCCTTTGAAGAGTTACTGAGAGAGAGCCGCTGCTGTGAAAAGTCCTTTGTAATCTAATTTTAGCGATCGCGGGAATCATGAAACCTGTCAGTTTGTGTCGTAAAGTACACAGAAAATCTCCCAAGAGAACAAGCATTCCTTTCTTCGCTGCCAAACGCCGACGTGAGGTTTGTCCTACAACACCAGTGTATACACAGACCTAAATATACTCTGAGTAAGCAGGAAGGTTTCTCCGACCAAAGCCCAGTCAAACATGATGATCTGAAGTCTGAAGTTGGTAAGGTCAGTCATGGGTGAAATTACACGTCTGAGCATCTCTCCTTCTGGTCCTGCTGGTTTCTGTTTCACTGCCTCCACCAAAAGAGGGGGGAAAAAAACCTCCAAAAAAAACGAGAAAGAAACAGCAGAGAGGGAGATTTTTACTGATGGAGGGATTGAGCCTAAAAGTGAGAAAAGAGACAGGTCATGGGAAATATTATAACCAGCAGGGGACAGAGTTAATCACACAACTGCGGAAAAAGAATAAATCCACTTTGAACCACTTGACTTCAGGCTAAAGGGGCAAGACAGACCATGGCCGTGTCACAGAATCAGACAACTATTGCACGGTCACACGATTTCGAAAAACTAATCAGCCTTGAATGCATAACTGAGTACCGTGAGAGGAAACTGGAGCACCTGGAGAAAATCCATCCAGCAGCAAACAAAGCATGCAAATTTCACACAGAAAGGCCTCAGTTAATGTTCCACAGAGGAACCTTCTTTTTGAGAGACGCTGCCAGGAAATATGCAGGTTGTGATATTTTTATAAGCTGAAATACTTCTGGGATTAAATCATTTTTATCAGTTTCACTACTAGGTCTTAAATGCGAATGCATGCATTATAGATGAGGTAGTAAAAGAAGACGTCATTCCCCTTGAACCTTTTTCACTTTTTGTTGTGTTGCAAACACCTGTGCATGTTTAATCGAGACTTTTTGTGACGCAGCCGCATCATAAATATCTAGGAACACATTGGATGGAGCACTGGTAAAGATGTAGAGAAGTTTAAAGCAGAGTTTGAGTTTAAAATAGTGTCCCAGGCTTCATACATGTGAATAATAAATGTTTAGTTTTGTCATCTGAAGAGTGGAAGGAGTTTGTCAGGGTCATGGTGGAGGCATCCTTTACTTCTGCAGAGACATATTTTCCCCATCATTTCCCAATTATGAAGTTCTTTGAACTTAAGTGCTTCTTCTGACACAAATAAAATGCATTAAAGCTTGACGTCTTAACACAACAAAATGTGGAAATGTTCAAGGGAAGTCAGTTCTTGATCATTAAGCTTAAGATCCCTTACTTCAATGTTGAGAATAGAAATGTTGTCACTATTTCAAGGATATGTTTAATGTGTAAAAACAGTTTCATCCCAATAAATGTGAAAGTAGAAGAAATTTTCTTTAGGATTTCAGATTTTCTGTTGATAAAGTGTTTGTCCTGGTTGCTATTGCAGACGTCGGTGTTGGATCTGAAGGAGAAGGCCTCCTCGCTTGCATCCTCGACTCTAAAGAAGGAAAACAGGCTGAAAAGTCTAGAAATCAACCTGGAGCAGAAAAAGGAAGAGTGCATCAAACTGGAGAGCCAGCTCAGAAAGGTTTGTGGATGTTGTCCTAATAATGAAAGAGGATAAAGTTGCAGTTTTCTTTCCTAACTTATTTTCCCTTATTTTAGAGAAAGAGATGAAAACTTGTTTGTATGCGTGTGTTTGTGGTGTGTGTGTGCGCGTGTGCGCGCCTGCATATCAAATATCTTTTCCCTCACAGCAGTCTGTAAAATGTGTGTGTGTGACAGCCTGCTGACAGCCTTACAGTCATTTTCACAGACTCTAAAAGACAGCACCACCATCACACCCTGAATGTGTTTGGTTGTGTGTGTGTGTGTGTGTGTGTGTGTGTGTGTGTGAACATGTGAAAAAATGTGAGAAACAGAGAAAAGAGGAATATGTATGAACGTGTCAGTGCATCTGTGGTGTTTCCCCTCATCAGCCTTTATTTCTCAGTCTCTTTCTTTTCCACACAATGGTCGGAGAAAAGATGCGTGACTTTCCGCCATATTTCTTTCCGCCACCGAGATCTTCGTATATCGTCAGCCACCCAAACATTTCCTCTCCACGTAAGGAGCTGTTAAAAGTGCCGTCTACTTCCAAAACTAATAGGGGTTTATGTATTGTGAGACCGAGGCGTGCACACACACATAACGTCAATCTGTCCCAAGAGCAACATTTACTTCTGGGAAAACACACAGCTGTTCTAACCTCTAAGCTGGTTATAACCTGTTTTATTTTTCTTTGTTTTATCTATTTTTTTCCCCCTGCAACCAATTTTCTGTTCCATCAGCTCGGCCGAGCCAAAAGAAAGACAAAAACCACTTCAACTGGCCATAATTTGCCCGTTGAATTGGGCAGCGTTACCATGTTAGTAACAATTAAAATAAAAAACACATACCGGGTTTCAGCTTGAACTGAGCCCAGCTGAAAGACACCAACAATATTTCAGACTAAAGTACAGCACCCTCCAAAGTCGTTGGCTGTGGAGGATGTGGAGATAATTCCTGTAACACAATCTCACTCCGAATAATTTAGAAAACATGAACATTTAGCAAGAGTTTTTTTTGATAAATCATTCATAATCATTTGCCCCTCAAACAATTAAAAAAATAATTAATGGAAGCGTAAAACTGCAGCTGTAACTTTTATAAAAAAAAAAAGAAGACCTGACTTGTTCTGTACAAAACTCATTTTGAACATTTGTAGATTATGCTTAAAAGCCAGAAGGTGGTTTATGGGGGGAAAAAAGGTGCTTATTTGCGGTATTAGTTTTCCATAGTTAAAAAATGTATCCTTGAACAGCCAAAATGTATAATATAAAATAGGGCAGCCATTGTGAGTGTTTCTAAACTTCACCCGCCTCCTTCTGTACTGTGATGAGAACATAGGAGTAGCACGGCCACTCATTTGTTATGATTTTTTTTTTTTAATTTGTGGCTCCATTAGCCCCCTGAGGATGTATATTTTTCACCTCCCGGCACACTGGGCCAAGCACATTCATTCTGCGCCGAATGTTTTGATTCGCTCATTTCGAAAGCCAACCCTTGGTTTATTTTTAATAGCAATTTGTGTCCCAGGCTCAAAGCGCAGCAGCGGAGTCGCAGGCCAACGCTGGACTTACTGAACGCATCTCGTCCCTGGAGCAGGAAGTGACCCGGTGTAGAGAGGAGGCCGGGAAGGCCCAGTCTGAGGTGGAACGACTCCTGGAGATCCTCAGGGAGATGGAGAATGAAAAGAACGACAAGGAGAAAAAGATCCACGAACTGGAGAGGTAAGAGAGAGGAATTAGATTAGCTACAAAAACAAAATGAATCTCCCCCCACCTCCTGTCATGGATCTAAAATGTTTTCCTTCCTGTTCCAAAATAGAAGTGTGAAGAAAAAAATGGTTAATTTTAAGACAAGCCATCTTAGTTTTCCATTCACTCCTCATCTGCTCAGTTTCAGCCAACATAATGCTAAAGTTCAGGTTAAACATCCCGGTATGAATAACTCATTATTTATCACTCACCACCTTCTTTTTTCCTTTTCCCTTTTCTCCTTCCCTTTTCATGCCATCTTTCAACTCTTCCCATGTGTGTGTTTTGCACTTGTTAACAATCGTGCGACTTTGAACGTGTGCGAGTGCAATTACATTTGCTTGCGTGTGTGTGCGTGCGCGCCCTCATCTCACCTCAGAAATCCGTCAGCCTCTCATCTGTGGCGTCCGCAGCAGTCGCAAAAGCAGGCCCCTCCCCCCGCTGCCTCTCAGCAGCCAGTGGGGGGGCTGGTGTGGGACTACCTGGGCACGTGAGTGGGCTGGTGGCCTCGAGACCACTGCACGCTAAGACTCACTTTGCCTGTCAAGGGATCGGATACAAAGGCACGAAAATAACAATCCCCCATGTGGAAAAGTGACATAAGAAACGCAAGTTTTGATCTGACGGTCTTGCAAAGGCCTCATGTTTATATTTAGAGCATTTAGTCACTTTGCAGCCACACTCGTCAATGTATTTTACTGGGATTTTGTGTGACTGACTGCACAAGGCATTAGATGAATAAAAAAACCTGCATTGTTTGTATGTCATTTGACAAGAAAATCCAAAAAGTTTGTCTTTATGGGTGGGGGGGTCTACCAACTTTCCAAGATACATTTTCACACATTCGTCTTTGGAGGGTGAATTATACATATATATAATCACATAATATCCCAATAAAGTGTGTTGGAGTTTGTGGTTTAATGCAACAAAATGTGAAAAAGTTCAGGCCTGTGAATATTCTTGCAGGCAATTGTGGATGATTTATCTGCAAAATCATGATGTGGCTTCATCTCAAACTTTTATCGTTGAAATCAACTAACTTTAAACTGGTTGTAATTTATTATAAGGTGCATAAATTTTCAAAAGCACAGTTTAAGGGGATATATACGTCTTTTCCACATGGGCAGGGCTCAGTACGCTCACTAATAACCAACAAAGAGTTGTAGCATTGGCTTGCTGCTAAGAAATCATTATTTTATTGCATATTTGGACAGTTATGTCTCTCAAATCCAGAAATTGGCCTCACTTGTACACTGACACACCACGCATTAGCAGAGGTTTGGGTCGTCTTGCTGCGGCATGACAAGCCAAGCAGCTTCTAAGAGTTTGTAAAATGAGGCACAGCCTGGCACCGCTGCTGCTGCACGGCCTGACACCCTTTGAGCCTCTGTTCTTGTCAGTGATGCAACTCTTTTTATTTCGTCTTCCGCTCCGCTTCACTTTCGCTTACTTTCAGCCGAGGATGCTTGACTTGCAGAGTTTTAACACGTTGTTTTCCTCGTAGGAATCTAGAATGCTCACTAAAATTATGGTTTTTGTTTGTTTGTAGCAGCAAACTGCTGTTTCTAACCACTTTCCTGTGTAATTTTAGATCAGTCACTCCTGTAGTTTCTTCCAGAGCACATAATCTCTATTATGATTGTCTTGTCTACTTGTTTTGTCTGTGCATGCCGTCCTAAATCTGTTTGACTTGTGCCCCTGAATGTTTCATGGGCTTCCTGAATTTAGGGTTTCTGATAAGTGGAAAAAGTTGTTTATGGACTTGTTCTCATTTCCTTTTCATTATGAAAAAAGAAGCAAAATCATCACGGAAAACTAAAACTAAAGCAAAACAAACAGGATTACTGCACTTTGCGAAGAGTTTGAAAAAGTCGTCCTTCCATCCAAGAATAACCAGAATCTCTGAAAATATAGTGCTGGCAAACACATAAGGAATGTGTTTGGACTCTAATTTTATTGGTCTCCTCCTTTTGGTATTTAATCTAAAAAATTATCGCGTTCCCCATCTGTATCTGTGTCTTTTAATGTGCTTACCATCCTTGTGATTGTAGGAATGTTATAGGTTATGTTGGTGGGACTCCTTGTCATATCTCTTTGATGTGACATTATTTTATCAAAAGTTGGCTTGCATGGTGTTTAACTGACCCTGTGCAAGAACAGAAAGTCCTTATAAACACCTGGACTTTTCTGGTTGCTCTAAAGACAGCCACAAGCAAAGAGAAGTTTCTCAATTAAGCATAGAAGAAGATTTAGCTTGAAAGAAAAAGCTAACTACTTTGTTAACGTTCCAACAAAATGACATTGAAGCAGGCTAAAACTCCAGGACAACAAACTTCCAGGGAAGGAAAGAGGGCTGCAGCATACTGATTTAACTCACTTTCCTTTGAATGCTTCTGAAGCTGCTGTCTTTGTTCTCCAGATTAGGACTGCGATGAAAACACTGTGCTCTGAAAACAGTTGTGAGCTTGTCCAATTACAGTGAATCAACCAGTCAGTTCCATCCCTATTTTTATTCTCTGTTAAGCTACATTTGCTTTCAGAGCCCTTGCTGTGTGGACTGTTGGGCTTGTGGAGGAATCATCCAAAATTCAAATTTATTGTGACACGCAACACTTCCCCATGTCTTATAGATTTATTTCATCATACAAATACATAGTTTTAGTTAGTCTACAAGAACTAGCCAGCAGTTTTTATTTATTTATTTATTTTTCTCTGACTCCATTTCTTACCTACCAAGTTGGTTTGTAATAACATTTTTTAGCAAGAAGGCAGTTCCAAGATAAAAACGTAACACAGTAACTGAATATGAAACAAGCAACAAATGTTACGTTTTGTCAAACAGAGGTAGCTTGTTCAACCAAAAGCAAAACCCAAGGAATTTTATTCGAATTAGTTACATTTTGTGCAGAATTTTACTGTCTAAAACGATCCCAAGAGTCTTCAGGGTTCCTACTTAATATGGACAAATCTGGAATTAGAATGAAAATTTTAAAGTTCTTATTTATACGTAAATATGAACCATCATTTGTCTTTGCCACATTTTTGGTTCATGCAGACAGTGGCAATATTTCAAATGGAGAAAAAGTGAAACATGCTGTGCAATTGTATTCAAGATTTTGTGAATTTCTTTAGGTCCTCTTGTGTATTCTTCGTAAAAAAGTTTAGATTTAGTTCTGAACTTTGACTGGACCTGGTCTTTTGTGACAGTTCACCTTCATTCACATATTTTCAGTGTGCCCAATATGGCTTTAGGTAAACAGGAAATGGAGAATGTTATGGTTTTCTCCACACAACACCTGAAATTGTTTTTACTTCTAAAGAAAGTTGGACTTATTTGGCTCCTCACAGTTGATAAAATACACACCATGCATGACAGACATTTTGAAAATCATAAATTATTTCTCTTCTACTTCATACTTATGCTCTACTATATTGATCTTCCACCCAAGTTTCTCAAACACATTTTTTTCCCCGTTCTTTCAGTTTTGGCTCATGTAATTGTTGAGCTTAAATGCCTCTATGTATTAACATGTTGTCCCAGCAGGATCTTTGCAGGTAGATCTGATATATTTCACCAATAAGCTTTCTTAACCCTTCGACCTGAACCAGTAACACTACATGTACAGATGGGGAATTTATCCGCAGCTTTTCTGGGAATAACGTTGTGTGCTTTTTTGTGTTTTTTTGCCTGAGAGGTAGCTAACAGCTATGTCAGAGAAGAATAGAAACGCCTCTGGCCTGCTCTTAGCCCGGCCAGGCCGGGGCTGACTCGGGGCTCCGAACGAGCCGCGGGAACATGTATAATAAAAAGTTCAGCTGCAGTTTAAACACGAGAGCAACAAGAGCAAAAATCAGACTTTCTCTTCCCCTCTTGTGAAAATCCAGCTGTACTGGTACCAGATTATTTATTTCAGGAACTGGGATGGTAATTGGAGCAGACTAAAGTGACTTCACACTGAGGGGAAATGGAGCTGAAAATCTGCCCCAATGGCCAAAATAAAGGATTTGGAAGGACGAGTGGAAAACAGAGAGAGGGGGAGCAGCAGGGGAAGTGAAAGAAAGGTGGTAGAGGAAGAAAAACAGAAAGTCATTTATTAATGGATGGAGATGCAAGAAACCTAACAGGGTTGGGCCAGATTTGTACCTATAAGCGCAACTAATGAGAAATTTACAGATTTTATAGCTACATTGTTCATCTATGGACTAACCTGTCTCTGGGATATTGCCATTAGCATGTTCGTTCTCAAGCATAAAATCATGCTGGAATTGGGGCTTTGCCAACTTAAGCATGTGAACCGATTTATGGACAATGGAAAATTACTTTTTAATTTTTATATTTTTATACCTTGAAAGTTGCATGGAATTTCGTAAAGGCTCTCAGATCCCCAGAGTGCATGCTGTCAGTGTGGGAATTTTAATAACCAGTTCAGTCCATACAAGAAATAATAATATTGAACTTGGACCCGTCTCATGCTTTGATTGGCTTATTTACTGCAGTTTTATTGGTGTAGGGGTGATTTGAGGAACGTAGGGCTCTCATTACTTAAATGTTAATTTACAAAATAGAGCAAGAAGCCATCTGGTGACTGTCTGTCTGCCTGCCTGCCTGCCTGTCTGTCTGTCTGCCCAGTCGTGTCTGTCTCTGTATAAATGTCCGTCAGCTGTCTCTCTTTGGTTAATGATGTTTCTCTGTCAGCTCTGCTGTCTTTCCTGTTCTTTGAAGATTGATCAAGCCGGCTAACCCAGTGCTCAACTCTTCTTTCCCCTCTCTCACCTTTCCCTTTTCCTTCTCTCCATCTTTCTTTTATCTTTATGATGCCACGTTTTCTGCTGCGCTACCCAGTCTTGCCTCAAGGTTAGTACCGCACGCCTATCTTTCTTCCAAAGCCCGTCTCCCTGCGTTTTTTTTCTTCATCTCTCTCCTTCATTGTCATACTGCGTGTCCTTGCATAAAGACACTCTTTCACTCTGTCATAAACTCCGCGTCTAATAACTCTCGTCATGTCTTTTATGTCTTTGAAGGAGACACCTTGACTTGTTCTTCACTCTCTCTGTCACATCGCCGCCTTTTTGAACAGGAAACATTGTTGTTTCTTTCTCTCTCTCTGTTATGTAACACCTGCCCTGGTCTCTTGTTATGAGATCTGCACAGCATGTAATCCCCATATAAAATGTGATTTGTCTTTATTTTTCTGTTTAGAAAATTCTGCTGCCTGATCTTCATAAAAATACTCTAATATAAGAGCATCATTTACAGCTAGGAGCTAAAATTTTCTTTGACTTTTAGGGACTTCCGTCTCCTCTCCAGAGGTCACCATCTAATGACATTTCAGTATGCGATATCTGGGGTCTGAATATGCTCCTATTTCATAGACATATCAAAATCCTATAAACTTTCTGACCTACACATTGCAATCAACCACATAATAACCAATTTTTCCTTCTGGTTTTTACATAAATCTCCTGCTCTGACTGTTATGTCCACTCAGACGTGTCGTTAAATATCCACAGTACCAGCTCTTCCTTTGCTGTTTCATTTTTTTTTTCTCCCACCAACTTCTAACGCAATGAGTCCCCTGGCATCTTGTCTGCCTTTTCATTGCCGGTTTTCTGCAGCTTTGTGATTCCACTACAGAAAGGGAAAAAAGCAAACAAAAAAGTTAGCACTACCTCACTTTCTGCTAGATGACAGAGAGAGTGTTTTATTTTTCTTTCTTTCTTCTGTATTTTCTTTTTCTTGTTTTGATTTGAGCTGAGAAACTCTGCAAATGTCTGACTTCAAGCTTTCCAGAGCTTAAAATGGGATTGCAGGGCTTCTCTTTGTTTGTGCGCTTGTATGCATGTATGCGTGTGCATGCGTGTGTGTGTGTGTGTGTATGCGTGTGTGTGCGTGTGTGCATGTGTGCAGGCGCGTGTGCGTGGGTGTGCTTGTGTGTTTGATCTAGTGGAGGTCCTGAGCATTGAGGTTCTGCAGGGATTTGTCAGCTTTTGGATGACAGCAAGTATAGGCCCGCTCACACTATCACAAAGTAAGCATAGTGCTTTTTTTTATTATTATTTTTTTTTGTTGTTTCGTGCTGCACACACGTACAAGAACACATCTAAGAATGAATTTGGCAGCAATTAGCTGAAAAACCCAAAGCGCTGAAAACTGCTGAGATTTAACTCGTTAAATTCACTCACACTTTGAAAGAAAATAAAAAAGCTTTTGTTGGTTCAAAAATAAAAGTCTGTAGTGGAGTTTACGCTGCTCATTGCTTCTGTTTTTACTTTCATATCACAATGTAATCACAATGTAATTTTTTTTTTGCATTTTACATGTAATTAAAAGTACTTTGTTGTTATTTAATATTTGAAGTCAGTGCAGACTCCAGTCATTTTGGTGTTCAATGCAAAATTGCGATTTGCTGTGTAGAAAACCTGAATGTTCGTGTCTTTTTTCCCCGCGTAAACAGCATTTACCACATTTAAATATATTTTATTTCACAGCTTCGGGATAATAATCTAAGATAGTGAGGACGGATGAAGATCAAATAAGCAACAAAACTGTATTAAAAAGCGAAACTTTGTAGTTTTTTGTTTCTGGGCTTTTTTATTGGCACAGAAAAAACTGACTTTTAGAGAAATTCTGTGTGGACAGAGGCAGCAAATATTTCCTCAGTGCATCTGCACAGAACAAAGATTACATTTATCTGCTGCTGAATGGTAAAAGCAAAACAGGAAGCTGAGACAGACTCCTTCATGTCTTCAACAAGATATTATGATGATGACATAATGGATTCACAAAGGAAAGGACATAAATAGGATTTAATGACTGTTTTAGAAATGTGATGGCCTAAGGATGTCAATCGTCAGCACAGTTATCAAACACTTGACGTTTGGGTTTTTACTAGCTTCATTACAGCACTTCCCCCTGTGCTTGACATCGAGGTAAACTTGGATTTTTCCAGTCATGTTAGTCACGGTTGCTTGATTGATATTTGGGGAAGTTGAAAGCGGATGTTTTCGTGTAGATATTTCTGGACTTATAAGGATATACGGACGACTGAGTACCTTATGTTTATTCATCCTTCCCATTTTGCGTGGTAACTCCAAAAACAAAACAAAACAACAAAAAAACCCACTTTCTGCTATATTTATGTCCAAGAAAAACAGAAGGAAAGTGGTGAATTACTGAGGAGAAGTTACTGGAAAACCAGATAATCATAAAGTTTACATTTTAGATCGCTCTTAAATTTCTTTCAAGGTTTCTTTCAACCTTACAAAATTTATTTTGTAAGGTTTAAATTTCTGGGGTGCCAATGAATTTGCTGTTAAATTCGAGTCACTAAAATTTTGTCAAATTAAATATAATTTTCTTTAAGAGTTCTCCCTTATCTTTTCCAGGAATGTCACTAAATGTGTCCAGCACTGCAGGCACTAATTTATTTACTCCTAATCTCTTTTCTGCAGTCATTATTGAATTTATATAGCAAGCTGTTTTCTTCTTTACCTTTAAATTTATTTTGTAAGGTTTAGTACCACACTTTAAAGTTGGTTAGATGTATCTATTATGCTTTGAATCTTGGTTTTTAATCTTTTTTTTCTATAACGAGAAACCAAATTCATATTTTCCTCCTTTTTTTATTTTTTCCAAAGGAAGTACTGAGTTCCTCGCGGTTAAAAGGAAATGCTTGATGTTAATTTTGGGCGAACTACTAGCAGTAAACATACATGAGAGCCACAAGCATTTTTTGATCAAATATTTATACAGGAGTCCAAATGTAATATTAATATCACCTTTATGTGGCTGCCCGAGTATGAGCAGCATGCTAATGAGGGCGGTTGGAAAGTTTACTGAAATTTCTCAGATTGCACATGTGTTTTCCTGCTAATTAAAAGCAATAATCTGTATTTTTTTTACTGCCATGAAGTATAGTGAGGTTTTTAAAAACATTTTTTTATGTTTTCTGTATTTGTTTGCAACAACTCCAAAAGTGTTTTTATGTGTTTTGGAGGGATTTAAATCCAAAAATCTACAGACGGTCAACAAGTATACCAGTGTGGATTAATCTTAGCACATGTTACATATTTACTGAGGATCCCATGTTGTTTGTCCAGTATGTGTTTACATCTGTGTGAATCTTGGCACACAGATATTGTGTGTTTGCGCTGTTTTATGTGTGAGTTTGGTTTTTGTGTGTGGTCCGACCCAGAGAAACTCTCTCCGTGCGTCGGGAAAACGTTTAGCCGTGCATGTTTGCTCTTTGCCTCCGTGTGTGCAGGTTCCCATGTTGTGTTTACAGCATTGCGGTTTGGGAAATTCTCCTGTAATTCCGGTTCCTCTGGCGATTAGCTTCAGTTGTCTCAAAGTTATTTTTGCAGGAGGAAAGAAGCAGATATTTTACATATTCAGACAACTTTGAAGCAGTGAGCCACAGTTGAACGGGGCCACTGGGTTTACAGGGCAGTGCTACCTGTGAAAAAAAGAAACAGCTCCAGTGAAAGTTTCCTCTTATCATAGAAGTATTATTTTGAATATGTTTGCACGTATAAACAATTCTGTTTGGGTTGTGTATCGCAGTAAAACAGTAACAGTGACCAAACATCTGATACATTATATAGAAACATAGATTTCAGCAGGAAGCTCAGAGATCATGAACTAAAAAAAAAAAAAATGAAGCATTTCATTTCATTTAAAGAATGATGAAAGAATTACCTCAGGCATGTAACAAGCCGGTATGTCAATCTCATTATATGAATGTCTTCAGGCCTACCTAAAGAAATTCAAATCATCAGTAACTTTTAAGTTAAGCTGTTCAATTTCTACTTTGAAGTTATAATTCATAACATCCACACATTTCGGAAAAAATTAAGGGCAATGACCCAACCCTTCGTTTGATATGCACATTAAGCTTAATAAAAAAAATTAGCAGTGTCAAAGTGTGAACTTTTATCCTATTATAGAAGTAACACACATGCAGGAGAAAAGTGCCTTATTTCCGGTGCGCCCGTCCTCTCATCTGGTGTGCCTCCACTTGAGCGTCTGGTGGCGTGTATTTGGTGTCTAACGGGATCTATAAATTCCTACTGGCGCATTTAACTACATTATTTGAAAATATTAGTCGGAATGACCAGCCTTACACCTCACTTGGTTTGTACTGTTTCCACTGTGTTACTTAAAGCAGAAAGTTTTATGCTTTGGGACAAATAAATGTACTCTAACCGCTGCGGCCTGTTTTGCCTGTGACAAGACATACAGACTGGTTTTTACGAGGTTTGTCTTAATCAAAGCATGAAGTGCAGAAACATTAACCACAAAAAGGAAAACAAATTTCTTGTTTGAGGGCGATTGGTGAGTTTCAGTTTGGAAATGTTTAGTTTTTGACCTGCAGATCGCTGGTAACTCAGTTGAGAGAGTTCAGTCACTGCCTCACTTTATGCCAAAACTTTCAAGGAAACCGATTTGAAAAGTGGGTCAAAACAGCCAGTTCAGGTCAGCTTAAAAATATATCAAAATAGTCCAGGCTAGTATTAAAACAAATGTTCATTGTCCTTAAAACGTAAGAAAAAAATATGTGTGAAAAGCAGAAAGGGTGTATGAAATAGAGTGTTGAGTCAATGGGAAAATTGTTTTCCACTTGCCTATACACTCACATATATAAATATATAGATAGCAAATGTAGCGTGGAGTTAGGAAACCTCAGCGATCCAACCAGATGTTTGGGGCTTCCTGGAAATCCTCCAATAGGAACATTCCTGCCTGTTTATGACCTGTTACACGCAGGCAGGGCGTACAGGACAAAACTGAACCCCAAATATTGAAATAACCGTATCCCACAGTTACTGAACATGGAAGCTAAAATCATGGCCTAACAAAGAGAACAAAATAACAAACGAGAGAGCTCACTTACTACATCTGCGTTCTCGCTTAACATTCGAACTCAGTTTTGGATGTAAACGCAAGAGCTGCACATGGCTCTTCCAAAAACGCAAACCTATAAGTTAGAAACTTAAATACATACACACGACCCCTGATGATTATTTTGCGAGCTTTGAACATGCAGGTGCGGCTGAGCAGTTCTGGCTGCATCTGTGCTTTTCAATTTCTCTTCTCCCAGATATCTCAGGACAGTTTGGAATTAGGCCCTCTGGACCTCTTAGCAAACAGATTTTATGCTACCCTTTTTTGCCAGTATCATTTCTCAACTTTTCTGGCAGCGATATTGATATAAAAGCCACTTGATGGATTACTCCTGTTACTTTGAGTAACTTTAGAAGGCAGCTTATGGCTTACACAGACAAGGAAGATGAAAGCAAAGGCTTGTAATAAAATAGTTATATATTTGAATACATTTATCTTTTTCTTTTTTTCTTTTTTGCTGTGCACTGAGCAAAGCAAACTAAAAGCACTTTCAAAGATGGTTAGGTCTGAGAGTAAATTTGAGATATGTTGCGACTCGAAGGTCATATGAAATTTCAGACCTGTTTACACTTTCTGTGACAAATAACTCGGGAGAAAATTCAGGAAACCATTTGTTCATGTTGGACGTGGAAGAATAAGAGTTCAATTCTGAAATGGCATCCAAAGGCAGATCTGCTCCTAAAATTAACCCCAAAAGGAAAAAAAAAAAACAAAAAAAACATTGACTGTGTACTAAAATTGTAACAATACCTTGCAGCACAAGATTTTGTGACATTTAAATACTATAAATGCAATATCATAGTTTATATTTAGCGGTTCAAATGAATGTTTTAGATGGAAAAACACAAAGGCATTTTCAACAAATATAAAAAACAATGTTTGGACTTACAAAAAGAGAAAGGATGTCTGATTTTTGGTTTGCTCAAAAAAAATCTTTCTAAAATCTTAACTGGTTGTTGAGTCCTTAAAATCGTTTATCATCCAAATAAACAGTCTGAAATACCCCAAACAGACTCAGGTGTAAATTTAACTTTGTTTCTTCTGATGAGAGGAGGCAGAAGTACCCTCTTGCGATAAAAATGTAGAATAAAGACCCTTTTTATTCATTTATCAAGTGACTAACTGCTTTTACCTTTAAATGAAACAGTTCAAGGGTTAAATTACTGCTTAGTTTTTCACAATCTGTCGCTCTACTTTCAACACGTCCTCTTCAAGTGTTGGTGCGGAAATGTCATCCCAAACATGAGACGACTCCTTGACATAAGATGTTTTTCTTACAGATGTGAAGAATCTGTGATCATTTTTTAACCCCCTTAATCGTTGGCCTGCAACTTTGGCCAGTTGCCAGTAATTTTCCACACCTGTTGCTTTTGATAAATATGTGAATGTTGTGGCAGTTTCAGTAAAAACTGCTTTAGGAAACGAGATGATGCTGTGTGAATTTATCCTCCCACTCCCCGTGTCTGAAAAGGATTGTCAGTGTGTCTGAAAACATTGCGGATGTTGGGAATAAGTTTTGCACATAAACACATTTGTATATAAAAGTCCACAGAGCAGAAAGACTCATGGACACTACCTAGCCTGCAGTCATATCTGTATTTTTTAAAGTAACATTCCTCGGGTTTTCTTCTGTGTTATGATTCAGTGGATGTTATTAGGTTTTATTTCTTCCACATTTGTGCCTGTTTAGATGTCTGGAATGTATGAGAGATCCTGATCAAGTAAAGCTGCTGTGTTATCTGATAGTTCTGTGACACAGCCACGATGGCTTCCAGGCGTCTTAAATGGGGATTAAACTCTTTCTCCACGTTGCAAAGCCGGCATCTCCCGCAAGGAATAACTTTTCTGCTCTTCCCGCTCGTTTGCTGCTCCGCGCAGTCTCGTTCATTTTCGCCGTGATGATTTAAACCCTGCTTCCCGACACTCAGTAATCCCTGTGTGACAAGACCCTCCTGCTTCCCGCTGTGCAGACATCAGAAATGTCATCTCGTCGTTGATTCATAGCTTTTCACCAAATTTCTTTACCGATTTTGACATTATATCGACCCGGGGGGATTTAGTGGAGCATTGTGTTGCACAGATTTCTGCTGCACCGTTATAATTTCTTGACCATATTTTGAGAGCTAAATCAGCGTGTCACTGTTTAAGCAACAGTTTTATTACTTTAGATCGTTGCAAATGCCTTTATAACCCTCGAACATTTTCACTCTGTTTTATGTTACAGTAGTCGTCTTTATCGTGTTTTGGGGTAGATTTAATGAACTAGGATCAACACAAAATATTCTGTTTTTGTGAAGTAGAAAGAAAATGATGTTGGAAGCATTTTTTTAATCAGTAGAAATGTGATAACCGTGTATTTGATTCTGTCCTGCTGACTCAGTAAGAACCAACTTTTAATACAGTTGTATCATTTGGTGCTTGTCTGTCCCAGCAGACAATTTTACTCATCCATCTATGATAAAACGCCTCAATCTCTGTCAGACCAAATGGAGACTGTGAGCATTTTTGTTTTACATATATATTTTAGTTCCTATGACATCCGCAAAAATTAACCATGAAATGACATGAGTTCTCCATCCATATGCAACGATCTACTGCTGCACCTCTTTCTGAGAATAAAAATGATTACGTCTTTTTATGTTTACGTTCTGAAACTTTCCTCCACATCTGGAGAGAACTGCACCCTAGTGGCTGCATTTCCTAATTACAACGACAGTTTAATAAACACATGGAAAGCATAAGGGCGTTGACACTTGACAGCTTTTGAAATAGGTGGTCCAAATTACATGCCTAAAGGGACCATAAATGGGCACTTAATGGGGTTCTTGGCCATGTTGGGAAGTTGTCCCACATAACTGAGCAGCTCTCCTTGAGATGTTAAGAGCTTGGATATTTGTCCTAACTTTGCTTTAAACATGTCGGCAACTTTCTCCATGACTTGTCTGCTGTCTTACTTGGTCTCCATGGCGTTTGTTCACTTGTGTCCTCTAAGAAACCTCTGAGGTCTGCAGTTATCCTGAAATCAATTTGCAGGCTGACTTCTGAAAAGTCGCACTGAATTTTGCTTACGAGACTGAACATAAATGCACCCTGAGGGTTTTTTTTATTTTATTTTTTATTCTCCTTTGAAAAACAAAAATCTTATTTATTGGGGTGAGCTTATTTTAGGTATGAATGATCTACAGGTTTATTTTTAATGGCTTAGCAAGACTGTGATAATAATAATTGAAAAATGAGTGTAGAATATGTTTAAGTCTTTGCAGCTGTAGAAGGAAAACAACTGTCTAACGAAGCATAGCGTACTTTGGTGGAAGATCACTCTGACTCAGAAAGCAAAGCAGGAAAAATTATTGGAGACTCTTGTCTTGGCACAGTTTGAAATAATAACTCACATTGTGAGCTATTATCTAATCTATATTTGCTTCAGTGAAGTCAGCTTTTAAACCATCAACCGATAGAAAAAAAAAACGTCACTCATAAACTCACAGTTGTCCCGTGTTTTTCCAGGCAAATTAAGGACCAATCGAAGAAGGTCGCCAACCTGAAACACAAAGAGCAGCTGGAGAAGAACCGAAATGCCCAGCTGATGGAGGACGCCAAGAAGCGGGAGGACAACCTCAATGAAAGTTCTCAGCAAATAAAGGTGAGGAAAGCGGTAGAGGCGAGGCGGGGAGCTTCAGGAAGGTGGAGAAAAGTTTTTTCCTTGTGTCCTTTGAGCAACTTCTGCTACAACAACACCATGTTGTCATAACGTGATACAGAGCAGCCCGAGGCAATGTCAAACACACTCACTCTCACACACTGCAGCTCTCAGCTGAGAACATGCAAGAAGGGGAAGCCAAGGTGGATAATTGGCAGGGGGAGCCGATAGAAGATGGAGACGAGGGAAGTGATGAGTAGAAAAATGAGAGGTGATTAAAGCAGAGAGAGGGGGGGAAATGAAATGAATGCTTTTTGGGTTTTGAAAAGCTTCTTTAGTGGTCGGAGAGCATTTCCTAATTGTTTGCCGGGTCCATCAAGTCACCCGAGATAAGAGCCGTATGCAGTGTGACGATTTTGTGTGGCTTTCTTCATATAGCTGAAGATAGTTGGTTTTCTTCTGCTTCTTTCTCATTTAACTTCGCCCTTTCACCTTAAATTTCTTCCCGACTTCCCCTGACAGCCTTCAGCCTGCTTTCCCTCCTCGTCCTCACTCTTCTCTTCCAGTAATTGCTAACCTCATTGGTTCGCTGATTATAGGCAGATGAAAACTGTCAGTGCGTGTGTGTGCGTGTGTGTTTTGTGTGAACTAGCTTATGCACCCTTTAGCTATGGTTGATTTGGTTTAAGTTGTTAAGAAACTGTCATTTGCTGTGTGTGTATGTGGTTGGATGATGAGTCGATGTGAGTCACTGAGACACACGAGACCGCAGCGGTTACAACCAGAGCTTTTGTGTGTATGCGCCGGTTCCGAGCCAGTATCCATAACCTAAACAACCCTGCAGACGGTAACAAAACAGGACTGTAAATTTAATTCGATGCAATAAGAGCCGGCTTTGTTCCAAATAAATTCCACCCTACTGTGCATAGTCAGACACCAAGTAATGTTGGCTCGCTGGGGATTCAGATTCGCAGCACATGTGTTGGAGATGTTCTGGAGGTTTGCTCATGGCCACTGTAATGCCTCATCGTTCCTCATCCTCTCCGTCCCCATCAGTTATTCGTTCATATCTAATTTGCCCTGCAAAGTCAGCTTCCTAGCAAAAAGAAAATAGATCTTTTTTCATTGGAAATTTATGGGAACTCTATTTGGTGATTTCACTGAGCTCTGTTTGTGATCAGAATAATTCAAAGCTGATGAGGGATCAGGGTTGTGGGGGAGGGGACAGCTCTCCAATGCTTCTCATAGTGGGCAGCTAATTGTGATGGCACCCGAAGACCAGCTGGTGTCCGACATTGTCCCTCAGGTTCACTGCAGTGTGGAAGTGAACCACACCAATCCAACGTGTACATTTTTCAATTTAAGCTAGGAGTGAAAACTAGCTTAAATTAAAAAAGTAACTTTTTCTTTTTTTTTTACTTTTGGTTCTGTGCAATTGCATGCTATCTTTTTTATTAGAGAAAATGCTTTTAAAATGTTTTTTTTTTTCATCTGGTGTGTACAAATATTTCTGGCTGGGGGCTAGTTAGTACGCTTCTTCACCATTTTGTATTTTTGTAGCCTTATTATTTCATACCCAGCAATAAGGTTATGAACTGGTAACAGGGACACATTTAAAAGTCATAGGACAACAGATCTGAAGACCGCTTGTTTAACATAACCATTTCTGATCCAAATAAATATCTGTTACTTAAAATCTGATTTGATCAGGGGTCTAAATCTGTCATATTTTGTAAAAGATATCATCCCCAACTCAGATCAGGGCTAAAACAAATAGAAATTCATGAGTGAAATGAACAATATGAGATGTGAACATTTGAATTTACCTTGAAATCCACATGGTTGTCTTCAGGTACGAGAGAAGTCTTTCACCAAGACCTCTGAATCTGATGCATAGAAAAAGTCCCTCGTTAAACCATGGTCCTGTTGTGTTTTATCCACACGATATCGCAGATGTTTTTCTAAGACCTGGGGAAATAATAGCAGCTTGTTAAAACTGGACATACGTGTAACCATTAACTGCAGCTGCCTTTGTTCTGTGAGTTGTGCTCTTTGCGCCTGCAGATGCTTCAAATGCTCATAAAGCTACATCACACTCTGAAAGGAAGGGAAAAATCCACATACCATAATGTGTCCCGTTTTACAACTAATTCCCTTCCACCTGAGGTACACTTTGGGCCCTGTGCACATCTGGCATGAACATGAATCCTGGGCGAACCGATCAAAGTTGACTTGAAATCTCTTAACTGCCCGTGTGACTGTACCCGAGACACATTTTGGATTCTTTGAGTTCCAGTCATTTGGACCGCATTCAGAGGTGGTCCTCAGTGCATATTATGGTCACTTTCTTGTAGCAGTGTAAACACGAATGTCTCTCGAGCCCCACTGACAGACCACCAACTCAACTGAATGCCTCCCTCTGGTTAAAAACAACTCATTTGGCAGATTGCTGCCCCGGGGTGGAGTATCCTCAGCTGCTGTTGACCATTCATTTACATAATGTTTTGGTGTAGGTAGAAATAACACATTTAGAGGTCAATTGGGTTCTTATTTTTTTAATCTTTGTCAAGATCGAGATGCTTCTAGATGATAGCTGCACAATTAGAGCTGCTTATCGAATCAGAGCTTGGGCTTTTCCATGTTGAACAGAGGCTGAAAGCTTAAGAAGCAACAACACATGAAATACTTTCACATGCAAACTCCATGCAAACACTTGGGTATGGTGCATTCATAGATCCTAAAAAGATTGGATTTTTAAGTGTCGAGCTGTTTGTCGACTTTCTCTGGTAGCAGCACTCATGTCAAGTCAGGTGGATAAATGCAGATACGGTCAAAACATTTCCTCTTTTTCTTCCTTCCTTTTGGCAGGACTCCCTCCGTCAGAAGGAGGAGCGCATTGAGGAGTTGGAGGAAGCGCTGAGGGAAAGCGTTCAGATCACAGCAGAAAGAGAGGTGGTGCTGGCCCAGGAGGAGCAGGCACGCTCACATGCCGAGAAGCAGGTAATGTGTGTGAAAGTGCATATGGACGCCTGCTGTACCGCATGAGTTTTCCCTGAATGGTAAATGTGTTGCCCAACATTTATCCTGAACTTTTCCCTAATTTTGGTCCATCTTTTTTTTTTTTTTTTTTTTGGCTATTTAATTCACCTTAGCAATAATTATGGAAACAAAAATTCTCTGTGACAATCTCAAAATCATCCGCACTAAAAGTGGGAGCAGCGACGAGCACGCCCACTCCCAACTGAGCCCCTTCAGGTGCGGCTCTGCGTGTTTACTCAGTCACTCTTCATTTATAGCCGAGGTAAACACATACCTATTTAAAGGACAGCTTACATTCTGTCCCTTTCTACCGGCAACACACAAGCGGCCATGTTTTCAAACCGAGTGCACGCCAACCGCTTTAAGTCGTAATGCAGCTCATCTAAACGGAGACAGTGGGAGAGCTCACGGTGGTAAAAGGGAGGCTCAGAAGGGAAGGGTTTGGTGGATGCAACCTCAGACCGCGGGGAGTGTGTTTGTGTGATTCGCTCCCCGGAGCGGCGGTGACTTAACGAGGCCATAGAGATGGGAAATGTTCCTCACTGCCTAGATGGTTTTTGACAAGTGGAGGGGGTTAGAAAACAGCGTGAGCTCAGGACGAGAAACACGGCTTGCTGTAGGTGTTGGCAAAACGGCTGGACTCTTGTTGTTATTACTGTCTCTAAACGTCTGCCGTCTGCGCCGGCTTTACTTACCGGACAGCCTCTGAACCAGACGTGTAAAGACAGACATGAAAACAGATGTTTTACTCCTGAGGTATGCTTCCTCACACCCTCCTCCGTGGTGGGTGCTAATGAGCGGCACTGCAGAAGAAGTTTCACACAGACAGATGACGCAGAGGAAGGACAGATAATTAAAGACTCGATGGACAGGGCAAGGCGCTAATATGGACGTGTGAAGGCGAAATACAGCTTTGCAAAACATTTTCTTCTTCTGAAAAAAAACAAAAAAACATCAAACGCATTGTTTCAAATTCCAGTCAAGTTTCAAAGATATTAATACAACAAGAAAACATGTTTAAGATGATGCACTTGACAGTTTGGATTGCCTTTTTGATGTCATGATGCAACTAAAAAGAAACAGCAGTTTTCAAGGGTGTACTTGCCTCTTATTATAGAGAATGTGTAAGTATATTTGACATTGCCCTCTTGTAAGTTTTTTTTCTTACATATAAATGTTAGCCACAAATATCATTTTGAAAACTGGCAATGAGTTGTTTTTTTTTCCAGTCATCTGAATGAATTTATAAAAAAATTACTCCAAGAAATTAATGGTGACTCATTCAAGAGGTCACAATATAACCAAAAGGGTCATCTGAAGCTCTGGAGGCCTCACATGGCCTAGTTAAAGTCAGTGTTCATGGCTCAACAATAAGAAACAGCTCGGGCAAAATGGCATCCATGAGAGAGTTTCAAAACACCCATCTGATGTTTAGCAAAAATCCATCAAAATATTTTGTACACCGACAAATCAAAGTGTAAACTTTTTAACTAACAGCATTTTAGAAACACTGAGTTATACAGATGGTCAAACATGGTAGTGGTAGTGTGATGATCTGGGGCTAATTTACTGCTTCAGGACCTTGATGATTGGCAGTAACTGACATAAATATAAATTCTTAATTAAGTGCAAAAGGCAATTATTAACATAATTAGATTTTTAAGTCAAAGTTGATTAAGAAATAGCCAAATAATTTTCAATCTTTCAATAATGTTTCATGATTTCCTGCCTACTGAGATGTGGTATTAACTAAATGAAGGAGTGAATTTATAAACTGGTGTTCTCCAAGATCAGGCCATGTATATAAAAATTTAAGAATGTGCATATAAGAATTTATTTACAAAATACTTTTGTCTTTGAAGCTCCTCCTTCCTGGGAACAGTGCATGAAAATGGGTCAATGCATTGCCTTCTGGGATTCAGAGTTTTTCCCATCCTCTTTTGGTCTCTGTCTTTTTGTTTTGCATGGCTGGACCAAACAACAATATCCTGCTGCCGTCAGTTTTTGCCCTAACCCTCAAACAGACTCACTGTGAAGCAGGGTAGTGATCTAGTTGTCTTCTTCTCTGCTTTTAAAAAGATGAATGTAAAGACAACATTTTATTAGTTCCACCACATCGAAGTCCCTGTTCCACGTGGTTAAATTTTGTCGACAGTGATTGCCGAGCTGTCACATCGCTTAGGCTGGGAAATATTAAAATGCTTCAAAATGCTGCAAGTGCAACTTCAATTAAGGAGGCCGGAGGCCATTAATAGCAGAATGAGGCCCTGTTTGAAAATGCTCCCATGGAAGAGAAAGGAGCAGAGATGTCAGCTTGTGGTGAAAGAGTGGAGATGTCAGCCAAACACCCACTGCAGTCCTCTCCCAACGTCAACAACTCTAACTCAAACTTTCAGCAAGCGCGCACACGTGTGTTATGTAGCTCTTGCAGACAGAACAGACAATACTTCTTTTTTTTTTTTTTCCCCAAACGCAAACGGACAAGATGGCCAAAAGAAGTGCGACCTGCTGTTTAACCTGAGCACAGACCATTCCCGAATTGCAGTCAGTCGAAGCCAGATGGAAACCAGCTTTTGGAAATGCGTTTCTGTGGGCACAAGTAAATCATAAATAAATATTTTTGAGTTCTTTTTTTATACAACTGCGTCAGCGCAATTAACTTTTCACATAGTGATTCATAAAACGATGACAGGAGAAGATGATTTCCTCCCTTAATGAGGCCGGCTGGTTCAAAGGGCTCCCACATGCAAATGCTGCCAAACTGGTCCCACTTATAAACAGACTCCGACTCGATACTGGTGTGCAGACGGCTTTTTTTTTTCTTCGACTGCACTGTCAACACGTGTGTGTGGGACTGTCCCATGAACCTGATTTGCCTGTCAAAAGCTTTTGACCAGAACCACATGAAAATAAACCAAACTTTTGCTGCTAGACATGAGTCACTACTGTATGTGCGATCCACGCAGAAAGGTGTGCGTGTGTGTGACACAGCAGCGAGCCAGCGCCATGACACACTCCATCTGTCTCAAACTGGAGACAGACGTACCCCTCCTCGGCTTCCCGTTTTCTATTAAGCCGAGAATTTTTTACTTCTTGAACCCGGTGCTCCTTTCTCCTGTGGTTCATCTTGTTTTGATCTTAAAATAAAGCTGAAATCATTCTTGAACACAAGCGTCCACAGGACGCGCGGTCTCCGTCGTGCCGACGCAGTCCGGAAGAGTCTGGAGAGTGATTCAAGTATTTTCAAGCTGCATCCATCTATACAGACACACGTAACATGAGTTCATAGGACACCTAGGCAACGTATCTATTGTGATACAAGATAAACTAAGAAATTTGAGTCTGGAGTGGTTTGCAAATCAGTATTTCCACAAACTGCACCATGCTTCTTTCCAGTCCCTCAGTTCTCATGCTTGGCCGTGTCACTCCTACCTTATTACCTCTCCACCCCGTTCCCACTCTATCACAATTATTGTTCTGCGTCACCTTTTCCAATCTTTTTTTTTCCTAAATGCTGCTTGCATTTCTCTCTCCAACTTGTATTTAGTCTATTGTGTGCTCATCCTCTCTTATATTTCGTTTTTCCAAAACAACTTACCTGTGTTTGTAAAGTCTTTCTTTGTCATCTTTAACTTTTGTTTACACTTATCTTCTTCCTTACCTCTGGATCCTGAGGCCTTTCCTCTGCCTCTTTCTTGTGTTCCTCTCCACTTCATTGAGTTCATCTCCTCCCCTCACTGCGATCACTCTTCCTTCTCACATCTCTCTTTTTCTCTGTCATTTGTATGCAGCTGTCTCACATTCCAATTCATGAGTTCACCACGAGCGGATTTAGGTGGTCAAAGGTAACAAAGAATCGACATGTGCCACTCTCAGCGCTCTTGTTTTATCCGTTATCAGGTGGTACTTTTGTTTTAATTTCATTCTTCCTTTTATCCATGTGCTTATATTCTTTATTTTAACAAACTGTTGGAGGGAAAATTTGATTTCAAAGCATCTTTGTTTTGCCTCTGGTTGTCTTGACTTTGAATAGTTTTACTCTCACAAGGACTTTGCATCAATCAGACAATGAAGAAAATATCACTGATTTTTTTGTTTTTTTAGCGAGGGTTTTTTTCTCATTTTTGTTTCACATTTCTCTGACATCTTACATCAGACTCTTGTTTTGTATTTTTGTGTGACACTATTTATAAAATAGCTGCAGACAAAAATGATGTTAGCTGTCTCTGTGTATTCCTCTTAAGAAAACCCTATGTATGACGTTATTTATATACATTTATAATATAATGTGAAAATCTTCAAACCTGGTCTCATATTTGGAAAATGGCATTCTCCTTTTGTGACTGTTAGATTTTTAAGTGTTGGGGTGGAAATTATTATTTCCACTGTGTATTTGTTATACAGGTTGTATCACTTCATGATACAGGAATATAACCTGTATTTTAATATGTTGGATTTCTGGCTCAGATTCAGGTCTCCAACTTCTTACACAAATATTAAATAAGATAGAGCTCAGGTCCATCTCAGAAGTTTAACATCAGAGAAAGAGCCTGTCTCTCTAACCCCCATCATGCTTGACAGCTTAGGCATAAAAACCTCACTTTGACTTTGTGCTTCTTGCCTTGTTCTTGTTTAGCTGCCCACCAAAATGGCTCCCTAGATAAAGGTTTTGCATGCCGATGCTGCAATTTCCAGTCAAACGTGAAGGTGGCGATTTGCTCCACACCCTCTCAGTCGACTGTGCGGATATAAAACTTCCTTCACTAAAGACGACAACAGAGGCATTCAAGCTGTTTCTACCTGGTTACAGACTGAAGCCTGATCCTGAACATCCTAACCAATTTACTTCCATTTCATGGTTACAGTTTGGGACTTCTTCTATGTTTGGCTATGTAGGGATGCATCCAAACGTCTGTTAAACGTGTTTAAGCTGATGAACTTATTTAGAAATGGTTCCAAAAGTGAGATTGGTCATATGAACGATTCTTAGATGGTCAATGAGTACTGCAGACTTTTTATTCAGCTTAACGTCAAACTCCACTAGCTGAAGTCAATCACAGACACAAAGGGGACGTCGTGTTATTTAGGTATTTTATTACCTTCAGTATCTCATTACGAGACAGAGCTGAAATTGGGTATATATTTTATCCCGAATCACATTTTGAACCTAACTGAATTGGAAAAAAAATCTCCAATAAATGTGTTTAAAATGTATTGTTAATTGATTGTCAAGTCGATCATTATAGTGTAAATCCACGTGAGCGTAATATCCAACATTACATTTAAACTCTTGCAAAGGCAAGAGTTATTTGGTTGGTCTTCATGTGTTTCACTTGAAATAAAAGAACGACGTAATGCTTTCTCGAAAGTTCAATTTTTTCAATTGTTCACTTCTTCTGCTGGATGGTTTCCTTTCTTTCCTGTTTTTTTTTTTTTCTGACTTTGGACGTTAGCCGAATCATTGTCTGGCCTTAAGAAATACACACTGACCTCACCCACATTAAAATGACAGAGTGATATAGAGCCAGTGAAAAGAGCAGGCCGAGATAAAATATGTATCAGAAAAGAGAAGGAGAAAAAGAAACGGCTCAGAGGAAAAAAAAATAATAAAATAAAACGGGGAGTAGGAAAATGACCTGCTTGATGTTCTGCATTGGAGAGTGATTTCTTAAACCCTTCAGATTGGTAATGCTCAGACACTTTCAGTCAAACAAAAAGGTCTAAAAGAAGCCAAAACTAAACGCGTGTTTATGTGCCTGTGTCAGGTGGAGGACCTACTGGTTGCCATGGAAAAGGTGAAACAGGAACTGGAGGTGATGAAAGCCAAGCTGTCATCGACCCAGCTCTCATTGGCTGAGAAGGAAGGTCATCTGACCGCCCTGCGAGCTGAGAGGCGGAAGCACCTGGAGGAGGTCCTTGAGATGAAGTAAGAACGTAAAAACACATATCTCATGGTTTAGTGCCTTTCTTTATATTAATGTGTATTTCAGCTGTGCTTTAGCATTGAGTTTTATCCATCCAACTCTACATGCACCACTTATCTTTTCATTTCCTACTGGTTTCTTAACGAGCACACGCATATGGAAAACATAGCATTGAAGGTACACTGTTAAATATCACACAAATTCACATTTCTGCAATTGTTTTCTCATCTTGCACTAATCTGTCGAGGCTTTTCTTAAAAAAATTCCTTAAGGTTTATTTTATTGCTGTGGTTTCAGTGGAGAACTTGTTGATTTGCTCCAAAACAGTAAATACTTTTAGACTGATAAAACTCTGTTGAGATCTAATGATTGTTCTCAGGATGTGGTCTCTGTTTTAGTTCTTTTTTTTTCCCAGGAAGTTGCTTTTATATGTGATGATCATTTTAGCTACTGGGAATCCACAGCAAACAAAGATACTATTACTTTTTAATGCCATCTTTCAGGCTTTATGGACTGAGCATTTTGTACTGTGGTGTATTAACTTTAATAGTGAACAACCACATAAATGCTAGGGTCCACTGTTCTCCTCACAGTGTTAATAAAAAGGCTACAATAATGCCCTGTTCCCCCAAAGAAACCAACCTTCGGTTGGAAAAAATCATTCGCATTTCTGAGGAGAACATATAGGGATGCATTTATGGCTTGTGAATAGCATGACTTTGTTAAAAAAAGAAAAAGAAAAGAAGCTGGAAACGGTGGAAAAAGCGGTGGTAACATATGTGACGTATTTGCCTTTTTGCTGAAATTTTGGTGAACGGGAAGCGCCGCGTTGTACCGAAGTTGTACCAGAATCCTTGACAAACCTGAGGATTCAAAGTAACTTTCCTTACTCATAGTGAGTTGCAAGAAAATGTGATCCCAGATACCAGAAGTATCCAACTGAAGTGGGTGATGGCATAAACTCTTCAGAAATGACTTCACAATAAAGTGGTTTGGTTATTGGTATGAAATGGAAAGGAGGTTGCTTTTATTTGAACTTGGAAAATAGAATTTTCAAATTCCAAGTCTAAGAAAACTAGTTAAGATTTCTAAAGGATAAAAGATTCATATCAAAATACACACGAAAAGTTGCCCATTTGTTAATTCCTATTTCATTCAATCAGCGTCACACGTACATTAACAACTTTTTGGAACTCCGTGGTCTCCGATGAACCCCGCTCTGTGGTTGGAAGACATCGTGGAGAACGTAGTTTGTTCCCCCACAGAGGAGTTATGGGTTCACCACTGATTGCATAATCTCTTCTCAATATCTCTCTGCATGGCCATTGCCTTTAATGATGACAAGCAATAGTTCACAGTGAGAGAAAAGCTGCCCCACACAATTACACTGCATCCACCAAAAGCTGCTTGGCACTGGCAATGAGAATTTGGGAGATTTTTTTTGGCACAATACAGATACTCAACTCTGGTTAAACCACTAATGCATTTTCTTTACAAATGTTGCAATAAACAGAATTTCCAACGGTTTGAGATTCATTGCACAAAACATTGTTGTATCAAAGAAGTAATCAACCAAAGACAAAATGTCCTTGCTTTTTATGCTAAGTTTACATTGTTATTTTCTTTCACGGCTTTGCCCTGCAGGACATCGCTAGAAATAGAAAATCAGCAGTTTAGGAGTTTTGACTTCTGAAGTAAATCGAATGCAGCATTACAGCACTCTGTTTCCCTTCAACACTCAGGTTTTTCCTAACATATGAAACCGATTAGTTTAATAATACAAACATTGTTATATCCTCTTCTGCTTTCCAGAAGGCAAAAGTAGATGTATTTTCTTTTGCATTTTTCAATCATAACTTGGCTAGGAGTGCTATCTATTGCACAACATAACAAACCAGCTTGGTATTCATAATTTCCTGAAATCAGCTCATTTAACTCAGCATCATTAAGCCCTTGATCTCTTGATATCTGCAGTAGTTTTTCCATGTAGCTTCAGTGATCCAGGAAGATGGTGATTGGACTCAATGACACGAGCTTCACCCGACACCTCATTAACTCTCCTCTCGTTTCTTCTCTCGCTTCTCTTCTTTCATCTTCCTTCTCCTTCTCTCTGCACTTTAAAGCCATCGAGATGATGCTAATGCAACAACCATGTCCCACTGTCCAACTCTTCACATGATTGATTACATATGCAGACACCAACACACACACACACAGACATGCGCAGGCTGTAACCCAGCGTTCGTTTTAATGTTGTTTTAATAGATGGGTTTGTATTTTAAGTGCTGCTGAGATGAGTCCAGCAGTCATGTATTTTCTGCAAATTTACATCCTCTCTGAGCCCTCACGGTGACATCTGATTTAGTGGAACAACACTTTGGGCTGAAATAGAAGCCGTGGAGAATATCCATGTTAGGCATGTCCTGCCTCTTAAAGTGGGCTATGAGACAATGTTTTATTGTGGCCAAATGGGAAATGAACTCTGTGATTTCATTTTCCTGTTCTGCGACCATGACATTTTCCACTAGGATTGTATTATTTTGTTTTTGAGGAGGGTTTGGTGTAGTTGGTGTGGGGGATTTTATCACCTTCTTCTAAACCCAGTGCGGTTTGTACTGGTACATAGATGCATAAATGGATTCTCTGTTTTTATAAGTGAAATTGCTCCATCTATGAGCGTCCAGACATGTCCGAGGTTTCCTGTTGCAAATTTATTGACCCATTAATGAGTATTTATGTAGCACACATAGACTTTAAGAGACACTTACCTGCTTTGTTAAATACAGACCACACAGTTCTACAGGAACTCACATATCCGCCATACTGTTACAAGTTGATTTACCAGAATGTTAATCACATTTTATTTTATGTTCCCCTTCTGACCTGCTCTTAGTGGAGGGTGTGGGGTTTGTTCCTTGCTGCAGGTATGATCAAATATTTCACTGTAAACTCTCATATGGTCTTGGTTAGTTTTATTGTTTATGTGCTTGCAGATGACGGTTGTCAGAGGAATCAATACTCAGATACTTAACAACTCCCGCCTCATTGTTTTTCTTTCTCCTTAAGGGTTAGCTCAGTACATCCAAAGTAAGCATGACTTAACAAGTTTTATCTTTATTTGTTTTTTTAAAAATTAATTTTATGGAAATTATTATACCCCCCTCTCACCATTGTGTGTCAGACGTTTTCATTTTAAGAGTTTTGGAAGACAAGATGGCAGAAGAAAATTATTCTCCCCCCATTGCATTCCTAAACATTTATCACTATAGCTTACATAATTTAATCGCCACATAAACAGCACATTTACAAACCAAATGTACCAAATAAACGTAACTGCAACTCAAACAGGAATAAGCTACATGGACACTTTAGTCACCTGGAGATCATGTAGATCTAAATCTGAAAGTGAAACTACAAGGCATTTCTTGCTGCCTTATTAGTCTGGCTAATAATTATTTGCCTACTCGATAGAGCATGGTAGTATCATTCCCATAAGGTCAGCCGGCTTAATGAACCGGCATGTGCGCACAAGATTATCTACAAACCTGCTCTGTCAGGTCGAATGGGTCAATCTTTCAACAAACTGCTGTCTGACCCAAGTCACCCAGTTTAAAAGGCAATTCTACCAAATACAAAAGAGATTTACTTGAGCTTCAAAATCTGTTATTTTTAGCATTTAGCAGATGGACATAACTTTTTGTAATCCAAATACGCCTAGAACAGGAAAGTTTTATTCTTCCTTTATACCTGATGTAAGAAAAAGGTTGTGTGCCTTTCACACAGTATACGTAAATATCTCTGCGTTAGCCTATTATTTACAGACTGAGTCTTTCCTTTGTTTATCTTTGGATCGGTCTTTTAGCCATCTCACTGATGTCTTACCTAAACATTAGTTTCTGGCTTCAGAAGCTACACATTTAACAGTAAACTCGGTATATATTTAGTGGCTAAAAATGTTCATTCTGAGCATAAATGTCCTCATGTTGGAAGTCCTGTTTCCCCTTCTCAATGCTTTCCCCGCCTCCGCTGACTTGGCAACGCCGCTGACGGCCCTTTAACACCAAACTGCTGATTCCAGTGCTGGTTCTAAATCAAACCAAAGGAGTCATTCCTTCCATTTGAACCCAAGCACTTGATCCAAGACAGGAAATCTGGTACAGTAGCGCTAACGCTTTGCTGGTCCAGACCAAAACAACTCATCAAGAGGCTGTGGGCGGCATCAAGGAAATCAACTTATCGTACGGTCATAGTGCTATTTCCGAATGTTACCCAGCACTTGTACAGTCAAAGAAAGACGGTTTTATTTGGTTCAGTGCTTCAACATCTCATGTAAGAGTCGGAGAAAACCATCAGCTTGTCAACACTTAGTTTCAGCTTGCTTACCGATGTGTGTCAAACATTTTGACTATGTTTCCGTACACAGAACATGGTGACCAGCTGGCCAACCATTTTCCTGCTGTTTGCCGTTTTTTTTCTTTGCACAAAACACAACAGCCAAGTTTTTATGGAAAAAAGCTGTAAACATTGTGTGTGACTCCAAATAAACTCACTTTGATCATTTAAAATGTTCCCATGTTGAGCTGCATACCCTCCTGAAATTATATTTGTATTTATATGACTGTCATTTTTCTTTTTGTGCACATTTCGCTCACATTGTCTCCTGGTTCTTTTCAGGGAATCTGTTAGTTTCCCTTTGAAAACTGCCTTTTTATAAATATTGAACAACTTTAAAGATTTTTTTCTTGCAGAAGTTTTATTTTGACTCAAAATGTTATGCATGGACATTTGATTAAATTTCCTTTTATAAATTTTTGGTAGCCATCGACAACTTATGACAAGATTCTGGATATATAACTTAATACTTTTTCTCTGGAAGATGTGTGACTTGTTTGTGTGGGCAGCTGCATATTTTTATTCTGCTTTAAAGGCGAGATTTCAGCGGAGGGATGTCTTTCTTTCTGATTTTGAACGTCCTAACCAATTTCCTTCAAACTCATGATAA